TTAATGTAAAGTTGTGTGTCACGCATAACAATGGAAAGATATTCCATGGCGGCTTATGACACGACCGAGGGGGAGCATGTATAAGGTGAAAAGGATGGGGCCCAGGACTGACCTCTGAGGGACCCCACAGGTGAAAGTATGCATCTGGGAATGTGCATTGCCAAAAGAAATGTATTCTGATCTGTCAGTGAGGTAGGAATGAAACCAGTTTAAGGCAGTGTTGGTGAGTCCAATGGAGTGATTTAACCGGTTGAGGAGTATGGTATGGTCCACAGTGTCAAATGCCGCTGACAGATCAAGGAGGACAAGGAGCAAGGGTGAACCGGCGTCTGCTGCCATCAGCAGGTCATTTGTGACCCTGACGAGGGCTGTTTCTGAACTGTGAGCAGACCGGAAACCAGACTGGAATTTTTCAAGGAGGTTATTATTTTTTAGGAGATCCTGAAGGTGGGCAGAGACTACTTTTTTCAGAACTTTGGAGAGGCACAAACTTCTGGGTCAAGTGTGGGTTTTTGAGAAGTGGCCTGATTATGGCAGTTTTGAGGGCAGCTGGGACATATCCGGTCTGGAGGGAGAGGTTTTTTACAGCGATAATATGGGGGCTGATGACAGAGAGGTTATTTTTTACTAAGATTGTGGGGAAGGGGTCCAGGGCACAGGTGGAAGGTTTCATCCTCCTGATGATGTCCTCCACTTCTGAGAGGCAGACACCTGGGAAGCAGCTGAGGGGCTGGAAAAACGCAGCTTGGGTGTCAGTGGTCGGGGCAGGTGGAGCGGAGAAACCAGAGAGGCCAGAGCGAATTGAATCAATTTTGGTTTTGAAAAAAGCCATGAATTTATTACACTGCTCTTCTGTAGTTTCTGAGAGTGAGGGAGTCTGTGGATTGAGAAGATGATTAATAGTGGAGAACAGCTGCTTAGAATTTCCAGGGCTATTGTTGATAATGCCAGAGTAGTAGTGAGATCGTGGCTCCCTAAGGGACTTGGCGTAGGCCTGTTGGTGATCCCGGTAAGCCAACTTGTGGACAGTGAGACCAGAGGCCTTGAAACGCCGCTCAAAGACACGCCCAGCTACCTTCATTTTCTGTAGCTCATTTGTGAACCAGGGGGCCGAGTGGGAGAAAGAGACTGTTCTAGTTTTGATAGGTGCATGGTAGTCCAAGATGCTGCTCAGGGTTTTATTGTAGAAATCCACTGCGTCATTAGCTGATGAGAAGTGAAGAGAGAGGAGATGCTGGAGGTCGACTGTCATGGATTCAGGATTGATATTTTTCAGGTTTCTGAAACAGATTTGGCGTTGAGGCTTAGTAAGGGGTGACAGAAATGGCAACTCCATGGAGAAGGTTTTATGGTCAGAAACACCAAGATCGTATACCAGCAGATTGCCAAGAGGGGCGGAGTCAGTGATGACTAGGTCAAGAGTGTGTCCCCTGGTGTGTGTGGGGACGTCCACAATTTGGTTGNTTGTGAACCAGGGGGCCGAGTGGGAGAAAGAGACTGTTCTAGTTTTGATAGGTGCATGGTAGTCCAAGATGCTGCTCAGGGTTTTATTGTAGAAATCCACAGCGTCATTAGCTGATGAGAAGTGAAAAGAAAGGAGATGCTGGAGGTCAACTGTCATGGATTCAGGAATGATATTTTTCAGGTTTCTGAAAAAGATTTGGCGTTGAGGCTTAGTAAGGAGTGACAGAAATGGCAACTCCATGGAGAAGGTTTTATGGTCAGAAACACCAAGATCATATACCAGCAGATTGCCAAGAGGGGCGGAGTCAGTGATGACTAGGTCAAGAGTGTGTCCCCTGGTGTGTGTGGGGACGTCCACAATTTGGTTAAGATTAAAACAGTCCAGTAATTGGTGAAATTTAGCTGCAAGACGGCAAGAAGGGGAGTTGATGTGAATATTCATATCTCCAAGTACAATAATGTTTGCAGATGTTGTACAAAATGTTGAAAGAAGATTGTACATTTCAGAAATGAAGGAGGGGTTTGGTTTGGGTGGCCAGTAGATGAGGAGTATTGTCATGTGAAACGGAGGCTTGCATTTAAATGCCAGGCATTCGAAGGAGGACAGCTCAGGCAGGGACAGAGGGGATACATCCAGATCACTGCGGTGGATGACTGCAAGACCACCGCCACGACCCGTGCTGCGGGCTCTCTGGAGGTAGCAATAGCTAGGGGGACAGGTCTCATTTAATACCGAAAAAACATCTGGTTTCTGCCAGGTTTCTGTGAGGCACATAAGGTCTAAACAGTTGTCCAGGATGTGGTCGTGTATGAGGCAGGATTTGTTTGTCAGGGATTGTGCATTAAACAGTTTAATTTTGAGCGTGTATGATATGTTACGTCTCGGAATTTGTCGAAGTAGGCTAAAATCCACTCCACATTGTCTATTGTGCTCAATTGACAGACTCTGTTTAGTGATTTGTGATTTAGTGGCAGCTGTAAATTCATGTAAAGACGGACGATTACCAATAAAAGTGTGTATTGGTTGATGGTCAGTGTGAGGAGTAGGCAGTGATCTGCAGTGTCTGGTGGGGAATCTTGATGAAAGAGTAGGTGACTCTCTAAAAAGCACAAATGTGTCAATAGTGAGAGAATTTAAAACAGGAGGTGACAATGATCAACAGTAGGGGGGCTAATGTTGGGAGACGTGGGTTGAGGTGAGAAGGGGGCGTAAAATGTAAACAGTCATGCATACCTGGCGCACTGTACCATGTGTAGTATGTTGGCTGTTAGCATGCGGCTGCCAATCTGTTTGGGTGAAGTCCATTGTTCCAGTAGAAGGATGGCCTGTTCCAAAATAGATTAAAGTTATCAATGTAGATAAAGCCCTGGGTCCTGCAGGCTGCCTGAAGCCAGGAGTGGAGGTAAAAGAGCCTGCTAAAACGTTCTGCTCCACGTCCGAAGGTGGGTAGAGGGCCACTGATGAAGATGGATTTTCCAGAGTCTCTTAGAAGGCTGAACAGATTATCAAAATGCCCCTTGATCTCTTGGGAATTTCTGTAAACCACATCATTTGTACCAACATGAAGGAGGACCTGCTCTATGGAGGATGGGAGTGCATGCAGTAGGTTTGGGAGATTAGCCAGAATTTTTGTTGTTGTGGCTCCTGGAAAGCATTTTGTGGTGGCAATGAAAAAACTAATGTTTTTTATTACTAAGTCACCCACTATTAAGGTAGTTGGGGGGGAAAAGGGGACAAGGAGGCTAGCACCGTGGCTTTGCCGGAGAGGGTGGCAGGAGCTGCGGTGAGGTGGCAGAGGGTGGCAGGTGTTGCGGTGAAGGAAAGGACCGTGTGCCAGATCAGGATGGGGGAGACCCCCGGAACGTCTAAGCACTGCCTCCTTCAAAAGCCTCCTGTGTGACGCAGTGGATGCCACCTGGCGTGGTAGCTGCAGTTCTGGTCCAGCAGTAGAGTGGCGCCGGACACCGCCGGTCACCAGCGAGGACAGCAAGCTACCAGAAGGAGGAGCCGCAGAGACAGCACCGGCCGATGGGGAGGAAGCCACAGCTCCCCCGGAGCCACCAGAGCGAGGACCCGGAGAGAGAGCACCAGCCGATGGGGAGAATGGACTAGTATCTGCGTTTACACCAAGATGAGACAAAGCCTCATAACAGTTGGAGAGTTTGAGGCAGGGTGGTGGGACAGCACTGACCGAGGCATTCTTTCTGTCGCAAACCACCTCAGTCCAGGGCAGCAGGCGGATAGGTGTTGAACAGAAGGATGGCCGCAGGCAGGTAGAGGGATCCCAGTGCACCGTGTCCTGGAGAGCCGCTGTGAGCGAGGAGATCCGAAGCGACTGCTTGTGAGCCACGTTGATGCAGGCAGACAGTAAGGCAGTTTTATTCTTCAGTTCGTCAGAGAGCCGACGGTTATCTTCCCTGAGGTTTGTGATTGTTTTGTTTGCTTTTCTTAGCAGGAGTTCCTTTTCAGGGTGCATAGCAATAGCCATGGAAGTAGCACTTAGCTTAGCCAATGTAGCTAATTAGCCTGCAGCCCGTGTAGTCTCTTGGCCATGTTAGTCTGGAGGTTTAAACTCATGTCTTCTCACAAAGTTGGTGATTAAAACTTAACTTTCATCTCTGTCAGAGAAAACTGATCTGAGTTCAGACTGTTTACTTACAACACAGCTACACTCACAGATAACTGAATTACAGCTCACAACTCACACTAATGGCTGACACTGTTTCATTGTGACTGTTGTGTGTGCTGGCTAGTAAAACATCCTGCCACAGACAATTTACTGGAGTTTACCAGCATGTCACTCATGCAGCACTTGAAGATAATTGCAAGCATCTGGCAGTCCACCACAAACATTTTCGTTTTGTCTCGTCAACAAAAATGAAACACAGATTTCATCTTAGTTTTTATTATCTAGATCTGTTTTTAGCTCCATCATCATCTCATTTTCATCATGGAAAAAAGGTTGATGATAAAACTTTTTCATTATAGTTTTTGTCAATGATATTAACACTGCTTGGCAGGACCCGTCCAACAATGGAAACATCCTTTACCTTGAGAAGCACCAGGAGTGTCTACACACAAAGTGTTTCAGGCATGTTTTTCAGTCATCTGTATTACATGTATCTGATGCAGTCTACAGATGTCTACACAGGCTGCATACTGGCTCGTGTTTGAAAAACTTTTAAAACGACATGCAATGTAAAGCAATTATTTGTATGAGCAGATCTATAAAATGAAACAAATATTATGACAATCATAATCCATCGATCCATAATCCATCCCCAGAGCTGGCAGGTACAGTAGCTCTTCAGACAACCTATGTAAGCCAACATAACTGTATCTTTACTGTCATCAAAGTGAGAGGAGAGAATAGACTCTCCCTCCACTTTACAAACAGTATATATACAGCAACTATGTGTTTTTGTTTAAGGGTGTGTGAGGGGTGTTAGGTTGAGGAAAAGCAAGGCAGGCCAGAGAAGTGAGAAACTGCATGGAGAGAACGTCAGGCCACACAGAATACCGACAGAGCGTTTACCTGCCCCTGCGTTCTGCCCGTATGCCGTGTAGCCACTGCCTCTTCCACGGGTCCCCCTACCTGAGCCACGAACTGCTGCTACTGCCGCTGCTGCCACCGGTCCGTATGCCGTTGCTGGGAAGCCTGAGAAAACAACACAGAGGAGGGCAGTTGGGATTCTTTTCTTCACTTACTGTGTCCTCCTGCTCTTCGAATGTAGCTCGAAGTAGCTATCGAATGTAGCTACAACAGCAAGACACATCCTGGCTCCATGGTCAGTTTTCAATATAACTCATGAAAACTGCTAAATACAATTCTTTTGCTTGGCAATGCCTGCACTTGAGAATCTGGACATCAGTACTGATGAGACTGCTGCTCTTCAGAGACCGTGCATCACCGATCACCCTGAGCGCACACACGTGACCGCGGAGCACAGAGAAGCAGTCAGAGCTACAGGCTACAGTGAGGCTAAAAACAGAGTTCATATGACGTTTTTCGAAACAACTTTTTATGTCGGGGCTTCAGGACACTTGGATCACTACGGATGAGCATGTTGGAGATATTTTGTGGTTTCAATTTTGTGTTCTTGGACGTTAGTCTGGGGCGCCGTCAGCCATTAGGTGTGCTAGCCGCTCCCCCCGCCGATCTCCACAAGGGATGTGAGGACTCTAAAACTTCACCAGGGCCTCCGTCGGCATATGGGTGAGTAGATAACGGCTGAATTTTAATTTTTGGGTGCACTATCCCTTTAAGACGTTGTAGATAACTTTTTTCAAGTTTAGCAATTCAAGCCGAGTATGAACTTTCTTGCAACTGTAAAGATTCAAGGTCCTGACACACCAGGCTGACTATTGGCCATTGGTTAATGTCGGGACACTGGTGAGCATCTGTCACCATTGTTGTGGTTTGTCATGCACCATTGGCACTAGTTGACCCTTGTTGGGTTTTTTGCCAATTCAGCGTGATGAACAGTGGATTGGCAGTTCGGCACAGTGGACGAGAAGAGAAACACAATTTAAGGAAGCAAACAAATGATTAAAGTCAAGTGGCAGAGATCAAAACAAACTTGTTATATTGGTAAGATTATGTGCTAACTGGCTAACTAGCGTCTTATATCTGTCCGTCTTTACGTTTTACCTTTTTGAGTGACCAATACAGAATACCGCCCACTCTGGTATGGAGAGTAATTTCCAGCCTGTTGGCTGTAGTCTTTGTTCTAGCACAACTTTTTGGCCCAGACACAAGCAACGAGAGATGATGCAACAGTCTGCTTTTGCTGCAACTAGCTTCTTTTTTTTTTTAATGTTGGTTTGGTGTGTCTTGGCCTTAGAGCAAGCCACTTACTGTATAATGCTGATTACCCAGTCTAAAGAGATCCCTATCCAGGGTAAAGATCAACCCAAAGCCATTATACTGGTTAATTCTCAAAACATGAAGGTTTGATCCGTCTTTAGATGATCTCCCTCAGCAATTTACTGGGAGTCTAGAGAAACCAATGAGATACAACAACCATGTCCCAATTTTCATCAGTTGTATCATAATGAAGGCTGAATCTTTAATACAAATGTTTTTTAACCAAGAAGTCCATTATAAATTGTCTTTGTACTTAAATAAGAACAAATCTATTAATTACTTCATACCTACTCACTATTTCACCCATTGTCTTAAAGACCTATCAATTGACTAATGACCTATTTGAATCATGGATTGTATAAAGACCCACTTTCTTTCTTTTTTTTTTTTGCAACTGCAACTGTTGATATAGTTACTGAACTCTGCCTTTGGAAGGCAGGATTGATTTTATCGTTGTTTTTTTGTACCACCTTAGGTGTATGTTTTAGTGTGGATGCTGTTTTTGTCAAACTTCTGTATTATGTTTTCTGTCAGAGGAAGCTGTCATGTACAACAGAGTATTCTCATTCCCAGGTTGTCAAACAAAAATGCTTTGTCACGCCTCCTCAGTGCTTTATACTGATGTACACAGCTTCCTTTGACGTCTGTGCGTGACAAACAACACTTTTGTTCTTCCATATGTTAGTGAGTCGGAATAATTCTGAACTGACAGACGCTTGACTGCTGTTTGCAATAAGCATACTACCACGCCCCCATTTCTCTTTATACATAGATGTCCCAGGGCTATCTGCTTTTCCCTCTGAAATGTCCCTGTAGGAAACCAGGAAACCTATGGTGAACAGGACTTGAACCGAAGAAGATGCTGTTTCAGGGAACTTCACAGCTACATCAAAACTTGTCTTGGTGGTCACAAATGGCTGATAAGCTATTTGTTACTCTCTTCAAACATGTTATATCCACCTAGTCTCACTCTGAAGTTGTTGAAAACCAGCGCTTGGTCAGTGAAATCCAGCGTCAGACGCCAATGAAAAAAGCTGTCCTTTCACGTTGGCATGATATGTGTCCAGTCGTTGTAACTGTTTAAGCAGGAAACAAACAAAAGTTAAGACAATGGATATCTGAGCAGGACGGGCAGGAGGGGTAGTGGTTGGATCCAGCAACCACAGATTTTCACTTCCGGTAAGATTGTGAAGCCAAACCCTGTTCTTTTTTCAAAAAAACCCAACCACGTGCTTTTGTTGCCTTAACCCAACCATGTGTGTATGTTGTTGAAGGAAAAAATGTCAGTTTGCGGTGCTGTATGGAAGTAGTGCATTTATTTTGAAAGAGACTGTATGCAAACTGTACATTTTCTGTTTAAACAGAGGATGCATGTAACAGGCAGAAGTTGACACGGCATCCCAGAACATCAACAACCAACCCACCCAGGGTACCCTGCACATCATATCTCAACATGGAAAGTCCACAACCAAATGTTGATATGTGATGAGGTCAGAGTGAGAATGTGTTGAAACAAATTAAATAACGTTACATTGAAACAACAGTGACTTTTGGTTTTACAATGTATAAGAACAGCAGTCTCTTGGGTAAAGGTCCCTGTTTGTTGGACCAATCCAGGTCCTCTCCCATCCACCCTATACAGAGTTTCTCACTCTTTATACTGCGTCCGTTGCGCTTAGTGTCAAATTGTAGTAACTCACGTAAGGTTTCTTAATGAACAAGAGGGATTTTATTTTGTTACCTGACGAGCACAGTGTGCAGCTCAATCTCATCATTTCTCACATTACACAGCATTGACTGTTTCTTGTTTTCTCTCTGTTTTAACTCCCAACAGCTGAAATCATCGTGCCACCTAGTGGACCTAAGGAGTAACATATATTTCTCTCAATTCACACAGTTAAAACATCCCTCCCTCCTTAAGCAGGTTCTATACATCTCACAGGAACATTATAACTTTTTTTTTTTTTTTAATGTGCCAACCAACACTATTAATGAGTCTCTCTTAGTTCAACTGAAAGTCTTTAAGATAACTGGGCAACTTAGTTTCTCTTTTTGGCTGTCTCCTCACTGGAATTGTATTTGTTACAGTTCTTTGTTCAGTCTCTGAGCTTCCTACAGCTTCAGTAGCTGCTGGATCCTCCAACTTGTCACCACTGAGTACCACCTCCTCAGCTTCCAGCCATGCTTTGTTTTTTGTGTGGGCCTGACTTAGCTGAGTAGTAGCAGCTTTTTGGTTCTTGTTACATTTTTCTGGTCTATGGTGGTGAGTGTGAATCTGGTCCACATGTCTCCTCACTACTCTCCCATTACCCAGCATCACTTTGTATGACACTGGTCCGGTCACCGATTCAATGATTCCCGGGATCCACTTGGGTCCTAGACTGAAGTTCTGGGTCAGCACTGAGTCTCCTGTTTTGAACCAGTGTCCTTTGGCCTTTTTGTTGTGCTCTTTTATTTGTCTTTCTTGTTTTTCCTTCACTTTCCTACTTAGGTCTGGGTGGATTGAATCCAGGTTGCAACGTAGCTTCCTCCTGAGAAGCAGCTCTGCTGGGGATAGACCTGTTGTAGTGTGAGGAGTCACTCTGTAGCTAAATAACACTCTGGCTACCTTAGCTGTCAGCGTGCCCTCTGGACATTTTTTCATCATTCTCTTGAATGTTTGTACCCCTATCTCTGTTAACGTGTTACTGGCGGCATGGTAGGGTGTAGAGGTCACATGACGGATACCATTTTTGCTCAGGAAGTCTTTGAACTGGTGAAACAAGTGCCATTATCAGACATCAACAACTCAGGCAGTCTATGGTTACTGAAACTGGTACGCAGGCACTCAATTGTGGTGGCTGAAGTGGCAGACTTCATTGGATACACGTTCATCCATTTTGAATGTGCATCAATGAGCACAAAAAACACTTTTTTCATAAACGGTCTGGCATAATCCATATGGATACGGCTCCAAGGCTTGTCAGAGCAGTCCCAGGGATGTAATGGAGCTGGTGCAGGGATGTTGCAGTGCTCTTGACATGCTGTACAGCACTTTACAGTATCCTCCACCTCTTTATCCAACTTTGGCCACCATACAGAACTCCTAGCCAGTGCCTTCATTCTGGACACTCCTGGGTGACACTGATGAAGCTGGTTCTGACACAATCAATCTCGAGCCCCATAACATACACCCATTCTGGATACTGAGTTCATGTTTCCTCACCTCATAGGGGGCAAACTCCTCCCCTTTAAGTTTAGATGACCAGCCATTGCGTACCCTCTCCCGCACTGTTGAGAGTACTGGATCTTTGTCTGTCCATGCTTCCACTTGATCAGCTGTCACCAGTGTGATGTCTGAGCTCTCCGGCATGAGAACCCTCTCTTCCAGCCTCTCCACTTCAACTTTCTCTGGTAATGGAAGGCGGCTCAAGGCATCTGCATTGTAGTGGTACTTCCTTCTTTTATACACTATTGTGTATTCATAGGCTCTCAAGGTTACCACCCACCTTTGGATTCTGGGTGAGACCTTTTGTGGTACAGCTCGCATCTCACTGAAAAGTGACAACAAGGGCTTGTGATCTGTCACTACAGTGAATTTCCGTCCATAAATGTACTTGTGGAAATGTTTAATTCCAAACATCACTGCCAGTCCTTCCTTATCCAGTTGTGAATAGTTCTTATTGGCAGCATTTAATGTTCATGAGGTGAATCCTATGGGTCTCTCAGTTCCATCGGGCATGTAATGTGACAGCACGGCACCTACTCCATACGGTGATGCATCACATGACAGCACAATGCCTTTATCTGGG